CCTCGGGGTTTTCCTTTTTACAGTCGTCGCTTAATCGGGTGCGATCATCATGATTTACTTTTCATTCTTGGGATAAATTTGGAGTCAAATGCATTGTGACTACGGCGTCAGAGACGAACGAGGTATAAAGTTACATACGCAGCCTACATACCCTTCTACATACTATGTGACAGAGTTAGCTTCACAGTTGTACATAATTTGGAAGACAGGTGGGCATGATTCAATTCATTCCTGATGCGAATCCTTCATTACTGAAACTGCTGACGTAGATGAATTGTAAGCTGCATCCTCTCTGTGAATCGCAGAATGACAAGGCGGAGGACTGTGCACCATGAAGCAGTCGTCGCCGCCAACAGAATACTAAATCCAGATTCTTTCCAATCTGAAATTTCTGTTAAACAATTCCCTGAGGCGTCGTTGCAGGCTCTAGCTTTGGGCGAAGTCCTACCGATCGGAGGGGTGAGATTAGCGGAAGGTGAACCGTGGTGCACATTGATATCACATGCCTCAACCGTAAAGCAACTTAGACAATAGAAACCCAAAAATGAGTGTTCTGTCTCTGAGCCAGGCTTTGGTCGCGGAGCCTAATATCGGTGTGATCAATTCGGTAGCCGTCAACTATTTCGTGAAGGCCCCAATCACGTGCTTGTTTATCCCTATCTGACGTGTACAAACTAGGTTAAACTGGCAACCTAATTAGTGTTGCGAGCGAGAGCGACAGAAACTGTGTCCTCAGTTTGAGTGCGCTTGTAAATCTACCATTCAGTCTCTCCTCATGGCATCAGTGTTTTCACCTAACTGCGGACTAACATCCGTGAGCCGCGCATATAATATATCAAAAAGCTGCTACACACTTATTATAGCTGCACTTTTCCTCAGCATCCCTGAGAGTGCGAGAGAAACGGCCAAACTTTGAAGGCCCATTTAAGGTGATTTTGTGAATGCTCAGATTAGCATCACACCTCTGTTATGTTGTGCCAGCTTCACCACTACCAACAAATGCTTTATTCGTCTTTATGGATGACGCATATTTTTCATGAACATAATCCCAAACCAGGGAAATTTCCGCTCATTTTCCGGTCTTTCGGATGACACGCAGCTACGAAATTAGTGCTGACTACCACACAATTGCTGGATATTGTGTTGACAGTCGCTGAGAGACTTCCCAGTGCTTGTTTTATCGATGGTACATAAATCTGCAAATACACTGACAAGCGGGCAGATGTGAATTATGGAGCAATCAGTGGCACTAGGTTGCGATGTTGTTTGGTCGGTGACCGGCAATGCAGCACACGTAACAACACTTTTCAACGTGTATGTATACCGCACCAACAATTGTAGAACGAGAGGAGATCTATGTGCAAGGGGAGACAGGAATACCACACGTGTGTTGGAGGAAGCTGGAGCCACAATCTGCTGATACGTTTTACACCGGTAACACCAAAGTGCCCTGTGGCGTTTACACATTCCGCACTCCACCCACTTGTGTGCGAGTGGGTTACCAACCATTGGTGGAAACGGTGGCAACTGGCGATTTAGCGTTCAGTTTTTGGTTAGTCCGATGTGTATAACAGTACTCACGGCGTTTGCAAATTCCGAGCTAGCTTTGGTTGGGCTGCAAGCATATTTGGACCCCAACCTGCAATTGATATATGCAATCACAATTGATGTGTTCAGCATTGCGTTTTACTACTGTATAATGAAGTTAAAACTTTATGATGAATTGTTGTGAACAATTGATTACCTTTCGTCGTGTATCCTGGATACCTCCTTCATACTTTAAAACGAATCGCAGAATGGACGCTACTCATACCCATAGGTCACATTGATGGTATCTGCAACGGATGTCCAGCAATAGATCGATGGTACTCAAGAGCCACTCTAGGCTTGCTTTAATTTTGACAGCAGGTTCAGTGAAACGTACATCCTGAAACTTATTGCTGTATTTGTCAGCACAGCTATAGTGGGAATGAAGAACTATAAAGTGTTCTGAGTACTCCGCAGTCTGTTTTCTGGATTATGGTAGATCAGTGGAGAGTTGAAGTGATGTGCATTTAAGCGCCATCCAATGCGCCGACAGGTGTTCTCAATATACCAAACAAAGCATGGTGAAACAGTGCAGATTATAAGCGGAGGGATATCACAGTGAGAACATAGTTGCTGACTCCTCCAACCCATGGTAATACACATTGCATGGTGATCGTTCTCCAAGCTACACAAAAATGTCAAAGACAAACTATTTTGGGTGTGGAAATAAGTGGCTTGATGTAAGCAATGATTGCTCATACTGAGACTCGGGTGTACACAATTGTCAGCAGAAACATATGGCTGTTTTGGAGTTATCGATGCATTGGGTGTATGCTTCTAGCTTGTATGGATCTAAGAATGTCCAGCGTGACATTATTATAACCAGCATTTCAAGTTAGCGTGTGATATTATGCGCAGCTAACCGCTCCTCTTCTCCTTCTCATCATTCACCGAAAGGTAGTTTGATAGTATCTGCATTCCACATGTTACATTTGTCCATCCAAAAGCGATTTCGGCCATCTTTTCTCCACTGCCATCAATCGTTTGGCAGGGTAGTCAGTGATGGCTGAATTGACCACATGTAATGCTGAACGAGTAAATGCAGTTTCGGACTGCTTACACCAGACACGAGAGGTCAAACCTTGATCACGTGTTGGTTAGCAGCCCGTCAACGCAGTAAAGACGAGAGATGCGCGCATGCGTACCTTCGTATAGTGTTGTCTTGATGACTGCGAAGCGCTGGACATGCAACGGACCACCCACACCCGTCTCCCGTTTTACAGGTGTAGAAAGGTGCGCGCTTACGGAGGTGCAACTGCTCGGAGTTACTGCCTAGTACAAGAGGAATGGTTATCCTACCGTATTCTACTTACAGCTTCCGTTGGCTCAGCGTATGGACAGCTCTGACTTAGTCTGGTTCTGCATGCGACCACCCTGAGCGATGCTGGCAAGTCAGTTTTCCGCTCTTCTGCTTGACCTTCGGTAGGACAACGAGTGAAAACCACCCGCATTGAAAGCGGTAGCCTGTACAGTCCCCAGTAGCTTTCAACGGTACCAACTAAGTTCCAATGTTGAGGTCATGGTCGCTGGGGTGCTTCTACTTTAAGTGACGCGATAATGTCAGTCACCAGATAATTTTGTCGCTGAATGAGTTAGCCTGGTTTAATAGAAAGCAAATGCTGCATACCACGGGAGGTAGTAGTTGGTAACTATTATAGACAACGCCGTGGAATACACTGGACGAGATCAATACTGATGAAGAAAGCTATGCTTGCGAACCTGACCAACTGCCACTTGATGTTGCTGCTGCTACTGCTACTACTAAGACTATTACTACTGTTACTGATAACAATATTAATGCTAATACTACTACTAGTAATAGTAGTACCTGTACTAGGGCTAAAATTAATGTATGATAGCGGGTTCACAAACATGACGTTTTCATCCAGCGTGAGGATGACAGCACTGTTTGCGGTTAGCCTACCATATCCAACGACTGCGATGCAATTTTTAGACTTCATGTGCTGTGGATAGCTAACTTTCTCTTGTGCATGAAACTAAGGCCTGTCCCCGTGTGTGCACTTGTGCGTAGCAGCTGAAGAAACAATTAGCCACAGGAAGTACTGACGGTGTAATCTCTTCATCTGTAGATGCGTCTAGGCGTGTATGACTGCTAGTATTTGGAAATTTCAAATCAAATCAAATTTCAAATCAAAGCGGTCACAACTAACATCCTAATGGTCCCGGGTTCGATGAATGCTATCTCTATCTGATGAGAGGAAATGGCCTTGAAAGCGTCATGGAGTGCAATGGTTTCAGGCGGGCAACACCCAATTTGCTGGTATTGAATGCAGCTTTTTCATGGTTATGAACCGACCATCTAAGTATCGAGCAACGGTATTGATGCACACCTCCACTTCGAAGTCCACCTTCAACCAGAAACGAAGAGTTTCTAATGTAACCGTAGGTTTCGATTCAACCCATTCCACTAGACAATCTACATGACTCTCAGTCAGTGACTTTTGACGTGCACCGCCATGTTTTCCTCTATGTTCGTGCGATTCCAATCTTCTTATCCAAGTTCGGCAGGTTTTCAAGTTTACTGGTAAAACAGATGCAACCTGCTTCCAATCATCACCTACTTCATAGATACTCAGTATCCTGGCCTTCATTTCTGCCGAATGGCGCATTTGTCTGCCTTCTCTTACTATAGCCTGTAGGTTAAACTAAACGTTGACATTTTATACGTATGATTACCAACCTGCAGTATCCTCGTTCCAAAAGGCCCACGAAAGTCACAAAAGAACGCAGAGACTCGTCCCAAAACAGACGTAGTTCCAAACCAACCCACTGGGCGTCAACCGTGGTCAGGTCACTTTATACAGTGTAGCGTGGACTGGCCAATCGAAGTGGACGACGACGCACGGCAACATGGATGTGTTGCAGTGGGTGTGCACGTGACCTTGGCCTCAAGGTAAGGACATTAAATGAAGCAAATAAGAGAAAAGCAATATCCGCGTACGCAAAAAGGAAGCGCAATGACAAGGGGAAGAAAATACACTCAACCTGTCAGACCCATAAAAGGCAAGGTCAGCCATTTCTCGCCCAATATTCCGTGAGCACGCAAACGCAAACAAGTTTTATTGACCCGCTATGGGCTTGATACCGGCTCTGCATTTCAGCTATTTGTCCAGTCGTTTGGAACTCTCACCACATTGTTTCCCTACAACTCCTTATTATGGACAGCCCATTTCCCTTTGAATGTGCCAGAACCCCGGCTGCTTGTTTTACCTACCCCTTGAACATTGATAAACCATTCGACCTTGCTCCTCTAGCCCACCGTCTATGGTCACTCAAACCCGCCTTACACATTTCGCTTTTACACCCTTCATCATTTGATGTGCTAGTTACCGATGTCCCATCGCAGACCTCGCAGGCATCCTCACCATATCCTGCGCTATACAGACACTCCGCCAATCAGCTGTTCCGAACATGTCTATCTTCAAAGCCAATCGATCTTCCAAGCTATGCTATTGGTGTATTTTGCCCTATCAGTCATTGACACATCAAGCGACTTTGACTGCTTGGCATATGTCCATACGTGTAGGCAATCAATTGGTGTATTGGCTTGCTTCGAAGCGGTGCTGCTCGGTTACGCCTTCGCGCACTTGTTTGCATTTTGTGCTTATCTTTGCTTGGCTTTTGGATCGGTTTTCCGTGGTATCTACTGAAGTTTCTATTGCTTTCTTGTATAAGGAAACCGTTTGAGGTTTGTCACTTTTGGGATTTGTTGTTATTATTCAATAGCACCACAGTTGCACCGGCATTGAGTTTTTGACTTATCCCGGGGATTGCGAATCCGTTCCGGTCTTGAATTTCGATAACCGGTGGCTGCGCGTATTGCTCAAGGTTTCTAAGCGTTTTATCGCTTACAGTGCTCAAACGATTTGATTTGGTGAGCCCGGTTTGACCAACACTCGGATCGTGACGACTGGATTGAATCACCGTTTGGATTCCGCCATGCCTTTGACGAGGAGATCGGCGAATATCCTGACTTCTGTTGAAGACCCGCGGCAAGTTGAACATGTTCCCATTGTTGATGATGCCTCTTCTGCTTCTGGATCGCATCATAGTGTTTTAAGTAAATCCAGCAGAATTTCGCATAAGGCGTTAAGGGCTCTTAAGCTAGCGGAACTCAAGAAATTAAAGGCTGAAACTGAGCTTGAGATAGCGAAACTGCAGCTAGATGGCGGGGAGGAGTTAGATGACGTTGAGCGACTCTCCCCTGCTAAACGTAAGCAGGTGAACCGATTCTTGGAGGATTGTGGAAATAGCGTGCCGATTGAGGAGATCCATAAGCCCTTTGCAAGCCAGTCACAAGTGCCTTGTCGACCATTTGTAGAACTTCCTAAGGTCGAGCTTGAAAGTTTTGATGGTAACCCGGCTACTTATTGGAAATTTGTGAAACAGTTTGAGTACTTCGTCGAGGATAGAGTCAGTGACAGTGGTCAGCGTTTATTGTATTTGATTTATTATTGTAAGGGCAGGGCTAAAGAGGCTATCAGTGAGTGTGTTATGTTGCCCCCAGAACAGGCTTACGAGAGGGCTCGAAACATACTTCGTGAACTCTTCGGCCAGTCTCACATAGTAGCCCGGTCATTGATTGATAGCTTATTCTCCGGGTTAAGATTGTTACCTAACGACCAAGATGCGTTGTCTCGTTTGTCGCTAAAGATGGAGAATTGCTATGTTGCGCTGTCGCAGATGAACTTCACCGCAGATTTAAACTCTGTGACCACCATCGAGCGGCTGGTTCGTGCCCTGCCGGGCAGCTTGCAATCAAGGTGGGCAAGGGCAGCGGACGTAATCGTCCAAGAGGGTCGAGAGGTTCTCTTCAGAGATCTTGCTGACTTTGTAGCTACCGAAGCCCGAGTTGCCCGTAGCAGATTTGGGCAAATAGCCAACTCCAGCGCTTTGAGAAATCAAAGTACCGTGCGACCGTCCAGAGCGAAGGATAAAGAAATGGAGTACAATGTCGCCTTATATACTGTTGCTGATCAGTCCAGCCGAAATGTCTGTACAGTTTGTGACGATGTCCATAGGACGGAATCGTGCCCAAGGTTCCTGGCGTCCGAGGTTCCCGTTCGTTGGGAGCTCATCAGAACTAAGGGCGGATGCTATCGATGTCTCAATTTCGGTCACCGAGCTGTAGCTTGTCATGGGAGTAAAGGATGCGGGCGAGCCAATTGTAAGGGTAACCACCACACTCTGTTACACACAGATCGAAGGCCAAGACAAGCGGCAGGCGTATCTGACTCTCCGCCCAAGGACCCTGGCAGTTGCCACGCTGTCTCTGCTGATGCCGGGAAAATTGCTCTGGGAATTGTACCAGTGCGGCTAGAAGGACCCTTGCTTTCTGTTGAAACATACGCTTTACTTGACAGCGGCTCCGACGTCAGTCTGGTTCAGGACGATCTACTGCGAGAGGCTGGTATTGAAATAAATCCGGTTTCGCTGAAGATGCAAACAGTGAGCGGTATTAGTTGTCTGGAATCCGGCGTCGCCAGTTTTCGTTTGGTGTCGTTGGACGGTAGTGAGTCGATTGACGTGCGACGTGCTTATTGCTTGAACCGTTTGCCCTTGCGACCAGTCAAAGAATCTGTTAGTCAGGTAGCAGCTCGATGGTCACAGCTATCGACCGTTGATTTCCAAGATCTGAAGGATTCCCGCGTTAGAATACTTTTGGGAGCTGATGTTCCAGAGGCACATTGGCAGATAGAACAACGACTCGGAGGTCGTGGTCAGCCCTTCGCGGCAAGGACCCTACTTGGATGGATAATGTTGGGTCCGGTAGATGGGAGCCGCCAAGCTCACGTGTCCATAAATTATGTACGAGAGGATGAGTTATCGCTGGAAGAGAGGTTAAGGCCTTTGTATGACGCTGGATTCGAAGATGTTGGCTCGAACACCCGCGCACTCTCCGTTGAAGACAACGCCGCGCTGTCGATAGCGAAAACTTCCGTACGGCTTGTAGATGGGCATTTCGAAGTGGCCCTTCCTTGGAGAAACAAGAACGCGGTGGTTGCACACAATTACGAATCTGCTCGGTACAGACTGCAGTGCTTAAGCAGACGATTGTTGAGTAATCCGGATCTCCGAGATCGATATGTGACAGCAATGAAGACGAATATCACGAAAGGTTATGCCGTTCCTGTGCCTCCCTACCAATTGCAGCCCCACTATTCTCCCAGGTGGTATTTACCACACCACGCCGTTATCAATCCAAAGAAACCTGAAAAGCTTCGTGTGGTCTTTGATTGTGCCGCAAAATATAGAGGGGTTTCTCTAAACGACCAGTTGTTGCAAGGTCCCGATACCACTGCGGACTTGGTCAGTATACTGCTGCGCTTCAGGACTGAGAGAGTAGCTATATCCGCTGACATTGAAGATATGTTCATGCAAGTGAAAGTGCCGGAAGCTGACAGGGGCGCGTTACGTTTTCTTTGGTGGAAAAATGACGATATCGGTTCAGAAGTGATGGAATATCAGATGACAGCGCATCCCTTTGGCGCGACTTCATCCCCATTCTGCGCTAATTTTGCCTTGTGCCAAACCGCCGTTATGTGGGGACCTCACTACAATGCCAACGTGGCGGCGGCGGTCCGCCATAATTTTTATGTCGATGACCTTTTGATTGCGTTGCCGTCGGTGTCGGAAGCCATACCTTTTGTAGCCCAAATCAGAGAGATGTTGAGTAAGGCCGGCTTCAAGTTGTGGAAATGGGTCTGCAGCCATACAGACGTGTATAAGGCAGTTCCGCCAGCAGAAATTGCTGAGCCTGTCAAACCGATAGCGGAAATATCAGGTTTCGTCCGGCGGACCCTCGGCTTGTGGTGGAATGCCGATGAGGATACCTTTCTGTTTCAGTTCGGATTGGCAGAAAAGAGTCCTACGAGAAGAGGCATATTGTCTGCGGTGGCATCTATCTATGACCCTTTGGGGTTGATAGCACCGGTTGTCATGCCTGCTAAATCATTACTGCAAAGGCTATGTCGGGACAAGTTACGTTGGGATGGTCCAGTCGCCGGAGAGAATGAAGAAGCCTGGCGTGCCTGGCTAAATGGGGTGAGTGCTTTAGGAGTCCTAAAGGTTCCCAGATGTATTTACCACTCCTTAGATTCTGTCGAACTGCCACAACTACATGTATTCTGCGATGCCTCAGAGATCGGGTATGGCGCAGTCGCGTACGTCAGATTTCGCGCTGGTGATCTCACACTGTGTTCTTTACTCTATTCGAAGTCTAGAGTAGCGCCACTGAAAGCTATCTCTATACCACGGCTGGAGTTGTCTGCGGCAGTTCTCGCTATCCGAGTGTTTGAGAGCGTTCGTGAAAGGGCCCAAATGAAATTCGAGCGAGTTTGGTTTTGGACCGACTCCACCACAGTTTTATATTACATTAACAACACGTCTGGCAGGTTCAGCACTTTTGTGGCCAATCGACTGTCGACCATTCACGCGTTTTCGACACCCTGTCAGTGGAGATACGTTAACTCGGGATGTAATCCTGCCGATCCGTTATCGAGAGGCACGTACTCCACGGTGCGATTGGATATTTGGTTTAGAGGACCGCGGTTCTTGGCGAGCGACGAAGATGAATGGCCTAATTTCGCTCCACTGGTCGAGCCTGATGAAGTTGAATTTAAGCGTTCGACTGTCCAAGTATTTGCCACTTCAAGCGAGATACCACTGTCCGCCTTGCTTCGCGGGTGCTCTGATTGGATTAAATTGTTAAGGTCAGTCGTGTGGCTTACACGATTCGTAAGGTATTTGAAGAATCGCGTATACGGAACCGATAATGACACACGGCGCACGGTGTTGATCACTCTTGATGAATTCAACAAGGCAGAGGTTGACGTTATTAGAATGACGCAGAACGAAGTTTACGGAGCTGAGTTAAAACGACTTGAAGAGGCTAACGAAGGAGCGTCGACTCTTAGAAGCATAGCGCGCCGGAGCGGTCTGATGCGACTTTGTCCCATACTACGTGGAGGGTTGCTGTGTCTGGGAGGAAGATTGGCTTATTCGGAATATGAAAATTCCTTCAAGTTTCCTGCAATATTACCTCCCAAGCATCCAGTAACTGCATTGTTTTGGAAAAGATGGATTAGAGAATATCTGCCGCTGTTGCAAGCTAGACAGAAATGGCTATATCCGCGTCGGAATTTCAGGCCAGGAGACGTTGTTTTAGTCGCTTCTGAAGCTATCGCGCGCAGTATGTGGCCCTTAGGCATTGTAGACAGCTGTGTCACGTCGGAAGATGGGCTCGTCAGGACAGTGCTGGTCAAGACGAAGGAGGGTTTAGTCAAGAGGGATGTGAGAAAAATTTGTTTGTTAGAGGGTAGCTGTTCGGAGGAGGGTGTAGTTCCGGCTGTTGACTCTCCGCAGGCGGGAGACGGGTTTTCGGGCCTGTCGCACCAGGGAGGACCGCTGTGAGTTCAACAGTCGAAGTGGGAGGCCTCTGGCGTACCGGTGTAAGTCCTTTGGCCTCCCAGCGTGGATGGAGCGGAAGGGATAGGCGATCCAGAGTAGAATGCATCGCGATCCTAGGAAAATCCTGACCGGATTTGGCGGGGAGTGTATCAGAGAGATCAATTTGTCCAGTCGTTTGGAACTCTCACCACATTGTTTCCCTACAACTCCTTATTATGGACAGCCCATTTCCCTTTGAATGTGCCAGAACCCCGGCTGCTTGTTTTACCTACCCCTTGAACATTGATAAACCATTCGACCTTGCTCCTCTAGCCCACCGTCTATGGTCACTCAAACCCGCCTTACACATTTCGCTTTTACACCCTTCATCATTTGATGTGCTAGTTACCGATGTCCCATCGCAGACGTCGCAGGCATCCTCACCATATCCTGCGCATTACAGACACTCCGCCAATCAGCTGTTCCGAACATGTCTATCTTCAAAGCCAATCGATCTTCCAAGCTATGCTATTGGTGTATTTTGCCCTATCAGTCATTGACACATCAAGCGACTTTGACTGCTTGGCATATGTCCATACGTGTAGGCAATCAATTGGTGTATTGGCTTGCTTCGAAGCGGTGCTGCTCGGTTACGCCTTCGCGCACTTGTTTGCATTTTGTGCTTATCTTTGCTTGGCTTTTGGATCGGTTTTCCGTGGTATCTACTGAAGTTTCTATTGCTTTCTTGTATAAGGAAACCGTTTGAGGTTTGTCAGATACTGCCCGAAGACACTCACGCCGCCGCACGCTGCCTACTTTCTGTCCTCTTGCACTACGGTTGCAAAACCTATTCGTAAGTCATGTACTGTATTTAATATGCCTTCTGGAACCACGGTTACAGGATAATTCGTTTTATTCTTCTGCCCGGAGCGTGTGTTATGTCTTGGTTTATTTGTTCGGCAAACAGTCCGCAAAATATACAGACTTTGTTGAAACTTCTCAACATGAGGAATCCGAAGCAGAACCACCAAATCCAATGTCTGACATTAGAAGATGATTCAACAAGTGATGACGTTTGCCAAATGTGTGAAGCACTGAACACTTTTTATGCAGCCTCATTCAATACCGCTATCAGTATATACCATCTTGTTCTAAGAAGGAAGACATACGAAGTGTTCTCAAGTATTCCCGTGAGCTTGAGGGATGTACCAAGGAGTATACTCTCCAGTAAACCGTCAATTCAGCCAGGACTCGGTGATATTCCTCTAGCTGTCATCGAGTACGTAGGCGAAAACTGTCCTTAGCTGATGTTAAACCTCTTCACAGTATCCTTAAACAATGGATATTTCCCTCCGCCTTGGAAACCCTCGGTAATAGCACAAAAACATAAAGCTGGCACCCGAGCTGCAATGACAAATTAGCGCCCTATTAATCATACTGCGGCAGCCTTAAAAACACTGAAGCGATGTTGCAAAAATGGTCTTGTTCAATTCTTAACAAGCTTTGACCCGACGAACCACGCACAACACGGCTTTCTTAAGCAGCGATTCTGTGTTACCTCTCAAATGCAATTCTTCGATTACGTATCATCGGTTGTCGACAGTGGCATGGCAGCTATTGTCATTCTACTAGACATACACAAGGCGTTCGACGGTGTGCCACATAAACATTTGCTGTCCTTCCAGCACTCATACGGAGGCAGCAAACCATTACTAAACTGATTTAAATCCTTCCTATAATATCGGACACAGCGTTAAATTTGGCCAGTAACTCATCCTCGAGAGAAAGTACAAGCAGATTTGTCCAAAGCAGTTTCCTTGGACCACTACCCTTCCTTATGTATATAAATATTAAACGTGATTCCATTAAACATGGACGATCACACCTCTTTGCGTATGATATTAAACTCGTTTACTCATTTCAACCCGATAGCCTTGAGTCAGGCCTTAAGAATATACGTGAGGACTTATCCACTCTGGACTCTTGGAGTAAAAATTGGCCCGTGAATTTCTGCGCTGAAAAATCGAAAGTGCTTGGGTATGGATGCTTCACACCGGATGGCTCCATCACCCAGCAGGTACAAACATACCAAACTCCTCTGCAGATAGGGACCTTGGAGTAATGTATTCCGCGTCGCTGAACTTTTCCAAATATGTCTCATATCATATAGCAAATGCAAGAAAATTGAAAGCCTAGATAACTAAATCCTTTGTTCCACCTGAAGCGAGACTAGAAAAGTTTAAGATTATGGTGAGACCTATGCTGGAGTACTGCATAATTATCCATATCCACCTGCGTAGAACGGAGCGAAGAGCTTTAGAAAACATTCAGCGTTCTGTCACGAAACTCCTTATTGGTCGACCCACAACTATGAAGTATGAATACCACTGTCGCCGTCTTAAACGGGACCCTTATGGATGCGCCGCCTGAGAAATAATCTAGTTTTTTTCTTATAACATTATACATTGCCGGGTGTATCCGACCCAAGAGACCTGAAATTGAAAAATTCCTCAATCTATCCCACAAGAAGTAGCGGTTAATCACTGCCCGTAAGAAAGGGGAACTGAAAGATCCGCTCCAACTTCTTCCTGGTGAGGTATACTCACATATCGAACAAGCTGCCATTGAAAGTATGGGCAAGTGAGAAGCTAACCAAATTTAAAATGTACTTGGAAGCTTTTCTCACTATGCAGGACATAATGAAACATTTGGTCTTCAAGTGTCTACAGATGTGCCAATTTTACCATGTCCAAACAATTTACGACTTATAATTCAGATTCACCACACTCCCTCTTACCTTACTTGTATGTTCGAAAATGCCAGCCCTGATGTCCGACTTGTAGGTGGAGAAACAAAAAAGTGTATATCTTGCTTTGTCTCTTCTTTATATGTTCAAAATATTTCACTGTGCTATGGTATCCGGATAACTTGCATCACCTAGTGCGTATTGAGTGAGAAGCTAACTCATTAATAACGGTACATTATTCCATATTCTGCAATATTTTATCACGCCCAATCACATGGCATCCCACAATGTCGCAAAAGCATGGTATTTGTTTACTTAGTTCGTCTCTACTCCTAATTTAACTTTCATCTTATTATCCTATTATTCTTTTGGTCACGAGTGGGCCGATCTTCTGAGATGATGTTTTGAAGCTTCTAAGCAACATGTGCATCCACGCCAAAAACCCCATTGGTGAATATAAAAAGTGTGCAGAAAGTTAAAAATAACAGTCCAATCTGAACTGCTGAAATCAGACTTAATGGCATATGACGTCAACCGGTGATCCCGCTCATCACGCACACAAAAGCTATGAATGACGAAAGGGCTGACTGGCTTGTGTAACTAGCTCACCAAATAACAATCGCCCAAGTTTTGAATAAAATCGGTAGTAGCCAGCTTGCTTTTAAACCACACCGACACATGACCAGATGGGACGTGGAGGTGCGAGTGAAAGCTCTCGAGGGACTACCCGGCGTGGAAGCAGGTCCACGGGAGTCGGATCCTGGAATGAACGTATTACTTCACCTGTTCTATCTTACCTACTTCACTCTGCTTTAAATATGTGGTGCTCCTGGTTGCTAGTCACTTCATCTTTACCTTGCAACTGTCTAACCGATATTTCCTATTGACTTACTTATTAGAGCATAGCCTCGATCTTAGTTGTGGGGAATTTCCTCTCTATCTCTACACCAAAAAGAAAATAAGTATAGCACACTTTCCTAATTACCTTGTCTTTGGCATCGTCTACAAGACAGATACACTGAATAACTCCTGACTTTGTAGTGAATAAGCCTTTATTTCTTGGTCTATCTATCAGTTTAGTTCTGTCTTTTCAACATTAACTTTATCGTACATAGTCACGCATACCCCAAATATGCACCTACAAGTGAAATCTGAAAGGAATACAACTGAGCTCACCCAGCATCTAAACCATCTGGCCGCCCAAAATACAACTTTATAAGTTCATAATTAGACCAAGGAATGTCTACACTACGCTATGCCTTAGCTCCCTACCATGTGAATACTCTCCATATTATTCTGGGAGCATTCGGCTGAGCACTTTGAAAGGCAATTTAATCGGTCGGAATTGTTAGATTTCTCGCCAGTCACTGATCGCCCCGTTCCGTGGGCTGTCCCTTTGGATCCATCCTCTCGCTAAGAAGTCGAGCGTGAGATCGTACTGTTGAAGTTAAATAAAGCCGCGGGACAAGATGAGCTCCCTCCAGCCATATACAAATTCGGGTGACCTGCTCTGGTGGATGATTTATACCAGTTACTAGTGAAAATGTGGGAGCAGAAAACTGTCCCAACCGACTGGAGCCGCTTCGTCATAGTCCCAGTTTTCAAAGGAGGCTCAACATCGGAATGCGGTAGCCATAGTGGAACCAGTCTGATCTCCATCGCCTCCAAATTGCTTCTCTCTGTCATACTTCACAGACTGGCACTCGTGAAAACCATATTCGTGAAGAGCAAGCCGGAATTCGTCGAGGTCGTGGCT